AAAAAACTGACCTGTTTGATGACATCTTCACTGAATTGCATCACACCCATCGTTGAAGTTGAAGCCAACGTCATCCTTTCACGTTCTCGTTTCTAGGGAAATGAATCATTAAGCTGATGTGATATTCAAAGTTTTGAGGATGAAAATCGTGTATGAATTGATGAATATTCAATTGGAATAGGAAAAGTGCGAGATGGAAAAAAATGAAAGAGAAGACTGATTTGGATGAGCTAAGGTTCACTGAATGACAGAAAAGACTCGGATCAACGAGTCCGGTAACCGAGTTGGAAACACGAGCCGTCGGTATGTCCGCTGTCGTGCGTCACATCGTTCAATCCGCCTTCTTCACAAATTCCTCTTAACACCTGTTCACAGAGGCGCAAGATCCTCGGTTTTTTCGAGCAGTTTTTCATGGTTCATCATAATGGAAAAGGATCTTGAAAGCCCAATCTGACTGGATTTTTTTCGCATTGCAATCTTCCTAGCCATTAAAAAATGATTACGGTAGTGTCATACGGTAGGAAAGAGGTGGAAAAAAGGAAATTCTCAGCCTTTGCTTTCAAAACAGTCTGAACTGAACACACTGCAAAGGATCTGACCGCCTACTGCCTCAAAAGGGAAAAGTGAGGCAGTATATACGCCTTTCCGGAAAATGATTCCTGGTAAGGCCTTTGAGCTTCCATTTAGTGAAATCTCGCAATTAATTTTGAAAAAAAATTACGGTAACGTCATACGGTAGAAACGGAAACGACAAAAAAGAAAAGGGCTACTATTAGTGGGAATAGAAATAGCCTATTCGAAATACGAAGAATCCGGGTAGCCAACTTCATCAAAGGGAAAGAGTATGGCAGTAACTTCTCCTTGAGGAGAAGGCTATACCTGGTTATGTGGTTATGTCTTCGGGCTTTCAAAAGCAATGTCTACCTCGTGNCCTCGTGCATTACTCATTACTATGTTAATATCATTTTCTTAAGCTGCTATTTGGGTTTGTTATTTACTACGAAACGTTACTACGTAATACCACCGTCAATTGGAGACTATTTTAGGAAACGGATAAACCTGATTCTGAACGGATAAGCCAATTCCCTTAGCTCAAGCGCCTACGGGCGGGCCTCAAACCCGTCTAGACTCCCGGATAACTTTCTGCCTACCTACTGCTCATTACTATTGCAATATGCAATAGCTACATGACTTGTTTACTAGATTTTTTGTTTATTGCACAAATGTCACCACGTAACATCAGATAGCCAACGAAGTTATTTTCGTATGCCGGTGAATCCGACTCTGGAAAGGTAAGCAGGTCCTGAGATTCAAACGGGAACCTTTGGAACTTTTAAAAAGTGCCCAGACTTGAAGACACACTATGGGATAAACGTGTCTTCTGAGGTTTTCGTGTGGGGTGAATCTGTAGCCACCAGGGATGAACCCCCGAGGACAGCACGTGGGACATTGTCGGTTCGAAAACGACCTCGGCAGGGTCTTATGAGGTGTGAAGAACATAGAAGGTTGACTTTCAAATATTTAGAGAAGGATGTTCCTATTTATCTCCAGGTTGTCCGAGAGTTTAGTTGTTTACTTGTTTATTTTGAGAATCTAAAAACAGACGTACACTACAGTACACTAGCAGTACAGGATCAACTCCTGAAGTTCGGATCTCATGATTCATCGGGTCGTGAGCTCACATTATTTATCTTCAAGACTTACGTCACATGACGCCGTCAGGGCACTGGCATGTCGAGTAAGGCCTCTTCAGGGCAAAAAGGCAACAACTGATATGATGGAAGACTTCGTCACCTTTTCCGCTGGTCAGCGCCTGCTGGTTTTTTATTTCGCAGGATGCTACTGGTACTAGTTGAAGAGTAAGCAATGAAAAGGTGTTGATGAGTTGTAGAGGAATTAGTAAAATAATAAAACGTCGGATAAACTCTCTCGAGCAGTGAGAGCCATCAAAGCAATCCTCCAGAACCGAGGTTTGCTGAACTCGAGTAGACTCCTACTGGCGACCGATGGCGAATCCTTGGTTAAGCTAATTAGGCAAATAGCTTTGGGTAAAACTTTTTTAGATAAGTCAGTTTNCATCGGGTCGTGAGCTCACATTATTTATCTTCAAGACTTACGTCACATGACGCCGTCAAGGCACTGGCATGTCGAGTAAGGCCTCTTCGGGACAAAAAGGCAACAACTGATATGATGGAAGACTTCGTCACCTTTTCCGCTGGTCAGCGCCTGCTGGTTTTTTATTTCGCAGGATGCTACTGGTAATAGTTGAAGAGTAAGCAATTAAAAACTGTTGATGAGTTGTTGAGGAATTAGTAAGCTAAAGAGAGAGGTCGGATGAGCAGTCCTCTGGAGCAGTGAGAACTATCAAAGCAATTCCAGAACTGAGATTTGCTGAGCGAGAGTGGTCTCCTACTGGCGACAGATGGCGAATCCGTGGTTAAGCTAATTAGGCAAATAGCTTTGGGTAAAACTTTTTTAGATAAGTCAGTTTATCATACGCCTTTCTATCGTCTTTCAAGCGAGAAATTCCAAGGCCACTGTGCTCTAGAGGTAATTTTGAATAGAATCTTTCTAGGAACCTCGGAATTCTTTTTCATTTCACGTTCTTCGTAGAAGATCGTATAAGCGTACAGAATATTTTTTTTGCTCCTACAGGTGTTCTCTGTTCAGCCCAAGTAGGAGACCTCTAAACGAGTTTCCGTCAGTTTTGCATAGGGAATAAGAAAAATCTGAAGGAAGGAGCCAAAGGTTGGGAAATATTATAAAATTTCAAAAAAAAAGAAGCTGTTTAAGCTTGGGATTGGGTTTGATCGTAGGCAATAACCGTTTATAAGAGTTTTTTAATATAAAAAACCCTCCCATAAATCTCAGTCAATCCTAATTGTGTAAAAGGCCCATACTTTCAGCAGTAGCATTCAACAAAGACTTTTCAAAGCATCAAAAACTAACGTACCAATGTTCTGCTGAGAGCGACGTTTGCTAATAAGTGAGCCCGGACCATGGTCGTGTAGTGAATTTACGTGAGCCGAGTTTTCTCAGATCACTTAGGCACGAGCTTGAGTTAATGGGATTAACGGAAGCCGATGAGTGCGATAGGAACTCGTGACGAATTACGATTGAAAGCTTTTCTATCAAAGCAATCTCCACGATGGTGGGATCTGTCAAACCAGTGGCGCCATAGCAAACAGTGACCTGACAGATCTGTCAAAAGCCTCCTACAGTAGGGCCCCTCGATTTTGCTCCGATTTTGCTGAGTAATCCCAAATGCTTGATCAACACTACCTCCCACCTCTCCCCCCGATAATCGATGTAGGGAACCTATTTGTTTTT